AACCTCTCCCTTTACAATAGAGAGCTGAGCATCTGTATATCACCTGTCACATCTTTCAGGCTTTGTTTCTCATATGGAATTTCCAAATAGGTGTTTTCAATTCTTTAGTCTTTAGTTCCAGTTTCAAGTTATGTAAAGCAGACAGAGAGCTCCAGGCAAGAACATTGTGGACCGCACTGTGCCGAGTGATCCTCACGCAGAAAATAAAAAAGACAAAAGTCCGAGGGGAATGTCACTTTAGTGGCTCACATCGCTCACTAGAACGTCCTCCATCCCCCCCCCCCATGTGATCATCCAGCATAATGAAGAATGGGAGGACAGTCTGTGCGTCTGATGTAACATCCTGAGGGCTGTGAGACAGAATGTGCAGAGAAAGTTCTGCATTCCTTCCATTGTTTTTGGTGGGATATACTGTAGATGGCAGCTTGCTAAAAAAAAAACGGGCATTACGGCCCTATGACATGTAGTCAGTCTAGATTAAAGATGGTTGGACTCGTTAGGATTTCTATGTGACCTATTCATACCATGCGTGGATAAAGGAACCTCCTTTGAGGCTATTGTATTCTGACAGCTGGCGCCCATGGCTGTCAGAATACCCCAACAGTCAAAGCGGCTGATTTGCTGCAGTCACTGTACAGACAAATTTTTACCCTGGGCAACAGGACCATTCCTATAAAGAGACAGCCAGTGTCTATTGCCTCAGGCGGCATATGGGGGGGGGGGGCGACAGGCAGAGCAACATGGCCACTCTGCTGCACAAAATTTGCAGAGTGCCTGCCGCCCCATTTCAGGCCAGAGTGTGCCCGGTTGCTAAGAGCCTGGCACGGAGATGTGTAAGGGCCATACATAACTCCCCACCCAGCTCTTAGCCACCTGGAATGCTCTGGCCGTTGTCCCGCTTAAATCATGGCAACCAGTGATGTCACTGGTTTCCAGGAGCTTAACAGGATGCTCTGGCTGTCGTCCCGCTCAGCTCATGGCAACCAGTGACATAATTGGTTGCCAGGAGCTGGGCGAGACACCAGCCACAGCCGGAGCAAGAGTTGGGCAGGGAGATAATGCAGAGCCCCCTCCCCAAACCCCAGCTAGCGTGCATCACCAACACCCCAACTTTACACCTCCCGCCTCAGGTGACGAAAGGCCCGGCACCTTCAGTTTCTCAAGGTTTGTCCGCTCCTATTTCAGGAATTCGAGCTTTACATTTGGCTGCAATCAGCTAAAAGCTGAACCTGGGGCATTAATCCCCCCCCAACTAAAAGCCCTTTTACGCATCTAAATCCGTGGTCATGTGACAAATTGGGTCCTGAGTCTTCTATCTCCTTCTGAAGGGTCCTCTTCAAGGGGTTTAAGCTGCCTGAGTCACTAAAGCTCCAAGCTTGGCCCTGTCTCCAGCCTTCCACCCAGCACTCATAGAACAGAAAATTAAAGGAGCCAGTTGGAAACTCCTCAGCCAAACAATGATGGCAGCCAATCAGCACCCGTCAGTGTAAGAATACAACTGCCACAGCGGGAGATTGCTCCATCCACGCTGTTAAGAGTGGCTTGAGGAATCTGTTAGATTTTCTTTGTTCAGCCAAACCGCTATGGCCGGCTTTATACACTGAGTGGCCAGATTATTATGACCACCCCATCAGTACTTCGTTGGGCCACGAGAGGACTTAGTTGGGCCGCCTCGTAAATCCACGAGATGGTGAAAGGTGATGCGAGGAATCTGACACGGCACTGTTGCCCTTCTGTTGTCTTGTACCAGTCTTGCCACTCTCCGTTCTGCCCTAACGTTGACTAGTCGCTGACGGCCACAATTCGCACGTTCAGACCCAGATTTTCGGCTGACAGTCCAGTCTTTAAACACTTTAACAGCTGCTCTTGAATATTTACCTAATTCTGCTGTTTTGCTGATACTCGCTCCATGGCTCCGAGCGCCAACAATCATCCCGCGTTCAAAGGCTGTTAAATCGCGTTGTTTCCCCGTATCTTCAGAAACAAATCACTTCTACTGTCGTGGTAAACAACCTGCTTCCCTATTTATAATGGTCTGGCCCTCTAGCAACTTCAGCGCCAAATTCTAGCTAATTTGCCTACAAACGTCAGGTGGTCATAATAATCTGGCCACTCAGTGTACACTTCCAATTGGCTTTCCAGCGGCTGTCACCAGAGACACATTGCTGGACGAGGCATGGTAAGTCATTCATGGGGAAGAGATCAGCTGCTGTTCATTTTTATCCTATTTTTAGATGTAGTTCTGCTTTAAATGTATTTTTGTTATAAATGCAAGCAGCGCGAGTTCCTAAACGAAGGCAGCACAGGCTTTAAAACTAGAAGTTGTGTAGACGTTGCACCAAGAACTGCTGGCCCTTTCAGTTTGGACGATGGCAGCCGAGGTTTGATTACTGTAAGTAAAGTGTGATATTTACACTCATGTCACAGAGCCAGTTACGTAGGTTGGCATCATCGTTGCTGGTATCATAAACAGATCAGAGTTTGTTGTATGCATGGAATCACTTGATACAATGACATATTGATGTGCCTCGCGGCTCGCTTGTCCTGTTGGTCACATGCTTTATTCACGTAGTTCACTTGTACTTTCTATCTGCCCTCGTGGAGAGTCAAGTGACAACACAAAAGTTTGTTTCAGGTCTTCTGGCTTGGAGGAATACCTGTCTTGAGAGGCATTTTAGGGCATTCATTCGGTATCAGCCTCTTGCAGTCCCTGTAAAGCAGGGCTGGAGTGTAGGAGGGAGAAGCAGCACAACAAGCCACTGAGTTCATGTGCTGACATGAAGCATGCTGATCAGAGGAGAAAGCACAGTGGTGTTGTGGTTTGGGCTTTTGCCTTGCAGCACTGGGGGTCCCCGGTCACTATCTGCAAAGAGTTTGCATGTTCTCCCTGTGCTTGCGTGGGTTTCCTCCCACACTCCAAAAAGACATGCTGCTAGGTTAATTGGCTCCTCTCTAAAGTGTCCCTGTATGTATGCATGTGAGATAGGGACCTTAGATTGTAAGCTCCTTGAGGGTAGGGACTGATGTGAATGTGCAACTATGTAAAGTGCTGCATAAATTGTCAGCACTATATAAATACCTGGAATAAAGAAATAAAAAGCAGAGAGATGAGCTCATCACTGCGCTGCTTCTCCTTCACTGTCCTGTCACAGGCTGGGGCAGGGTCAGGGTGACCTGGGCTCAAAGGCAGTGGCTTGAATGATGCTAAAGGACATGTATCTGTAGAAAAAAAAAAAAAGGTACTGCAGAGAAAGTTTCTGAGGTGAATTTTGCTGGTTTTGTTATTGAACCTTGTAATGGGATATTTTTTGTATATCTTACTTTTGGATAGGGTTCTGCTTTAAGTGTATAATATACTTTTTTTAAAATGCAAACAGTAAATTATCCTGCGGAATAGAAGACATTGCTTTTTTCAGTTTTTATTCTTATCCGTGACCCCACTGGAAAAGATTGCATGTCGCTTCCTGGCCCGGTGACAACCTGCAACATAGATAGATGTTACAATATGCCGCCAACTTGTTCATTCCATGCCTAGAAGACTTGGTGCTGTCCTAGATGGAGTCGTTTTTGTTGTGGGGGTGCAATCATTTTTGCTTTACCTAATTTGAGTAAAACTGAAGATTCTGTCATCTAAATTATATTATTAAACTTACTTTCATGTCATGAGCTCAACAAATGTTCTATAAAACTCGGTTTTGTCAAAATTTAGGAAATTGTTCTTGTGCTCACTGAGATACTGATTAAAATCTTTCTGTTCAAAGGGGTGTACTCATTTATACTGAGCACTGTACATGGACATCTACTACAAATGTTGGTTTTTATGATATACGTGGACAACTACCTCTCTGGAACATTTGGAATTTACAATATACATGGATATTTACCACGCTGCAAATTTGATATTTTAATGATAGATGTGGACGTATACCTGTCTTGAAATGTTGGATTCCATGATATAAATGGATGTATACCAGGCTGGAGATTTTGGATTCTACAGTGTACGTGAACATCTAGCACTCTGGAAAATTTGGATTTTATGATGGACGTGGACATCTACCGTGAATTCCATGATATACGGACATCTACCGCGCTGGAAATGTTGAATTCCATGATATACGGACATCTACCACACTGCACATTTTGGATTTCATGATATACGGACATCTACCACGCTGCACATTTTGGATTTCATGATATACGGACATCTACCGCGCTGGAAATGTTGGATTTCATGATATACGGACATCTACCACGCTGGAAATTTTGGATTCCATTATATACGGACATCTACCACGCTGGAAATTTTGGATTCCATTATATACGGGCATCTACCACGCTGGAAATTTTCGAATTTAAAACCAGCTACGAAAACCTTCAGAAACAGAAGGTACTGAGTGTTGACGTAATGGATACACTTTGCTGTGACAAATCTGAAGACCTGGCCTGACCATGTCCCTGGAAATCAGAGCCCAGCACCGGCCTGGGACACCTACAACACTGGCTTTCCCCCTACTTATCATAGTTTCCTCCCGCCCAAGCCGACACATGTCACCCCCCTGGCGTCCGGCAAACATCATATTTACATAGCTGCATTTCTTCGTTTGCCAACTCACACCCCAGACAGTTTTCCTAATTATCCTCAACTTCCCTCCTCCCGCGATACCACTCCCCCCCTCGTTACATGACCCTCCCTCTTCCCAGCCCCGACCGCAGCAGCATTGGCGCCACCTCGCTACGTGACGTCAGCGCGCATCCGGGGCTTCGCGCTGATTGACAGTCTCCATGGCAACACGCTTATCCCGCCGCCATTTTGTTACCTTTTTTTTTTTTTTTTTAATTCCCTTCCCGCCCGAATAAACCCCGGTGAGGGAATTACGTGCCGTGTGAATAAAGCACATTGTGAATAAAATATTTCTGAGTGAATGGTGAGGATGCGGTGGCGGGAAGGAGGATGGTGGTGATGAGGTGAAGAAAAAGGAGGGGGTGTTGTTGTCAGTCACGGTGCCCCGGTCTCCGGTATGAGGAAGAGGGGGAGTCAGTGGAGGGGTTAGCGGTGGTTTCCCCGTCCTCCTCATTCTTCCTCCTTCGCTGGCAGGCTGCGCAGCTTTGGAAACGCGCGCCATTTTGTAACTCCCCCTTCCCTCCCCCCTTCTCCCTCCATCCTGCACGGCGGCCGGGACCAGAGAATCCGCCAGCAGCAGCAGAAGAGCCGGGGATCTCCGCGATATGCTGGCCAGCGCCGGGGAGTGGGGGGGATGAGGATGATAATAATGATGATGAGGAGCAGGATGACGGCGTGAGGAGGAAGCAGCCCAGCTTCTATCTATGTGTGACTGTGTGCGGCTCGATGTGACTGGACGGCCGTCTGGCAGCAGCAGCAGCGGGGGGACTAGAGGCGCCGGAGGACACGGGTAAGGAGGATGCCATGTACTGAGGAGAGGTGACAGGGTCTGTCTGTGCCCAGGAGGAACTACAACCCTCAGCATGTCCTGACAGTGAAGAGAGGTGACGGGGTCTCTGCTCTGAGGAGGAACTACGACTCTCAGCATGTCCTGACAGGGAGGAGGAGAGAGGTGACAAGGTCTCTCTGCTCTGAGGAGGAACTACGACCCTCGGCATGTCCTGACAGGGAGGAGGAGAGAGGTGACAGGGTCTCTCTGCTCTGAGGAGGAACTACGACCCTCAGCATGCACAGGGAGCAGGAGAGGTGGCAAGCTCTCACTGTTTGGAGGAGGAACTACAACCCTCAGCATGCCCTGGCAGGGAGGAGGAGATGACTATGAGCAGCTGGCGCTGCCATCATGGCTTGACAGGGGAAAGGAGATGGACTACAAGTGTTGACAGGGGTGGCTGCGGGTAGCTGTGTGTGTGAGGCATGGTGGAATCCTGAAGAACTACAAGTGTCAGCATGGCAGGGCAAAGAGGTCTCTGTTGAAAGTTAACAGGGCAGCTGGTGATGGACTACAAGTCTCAGCATTGCTTTGGCATTGGTGGGGGAGACAGGTGATGTTATGTCCCAACCAGCGATGACGGTAGATTACGGAGGGTCTACAAGTGTTGGTAGCGTTTGTGATGTCCCAAGCAGCGGTGATTCTAAACTTCTGAAGAACTACAAGTCTCAGCACGGGGTAACAATGTGATGTACCAAGCAGTGTTGATGGTAGACTCCTCACCAGCTACTTAGGTTTTTGTGGTGGCCGCAGCAGGGGTAGCGTTGTCGTGTCCCAAGCAGCGATGATGGTAGACCTCTGAGGAACTATACCTGGCAGTTGTGTCAGGGGGTAGCGATCTGGCGTCCCAAGAAGCCATGATAGATTCCTGAGGGACTACAAGTCTCAGCATGGCTTGGCGTTGGTAGTTTCAGGTAGCGGTGACAATTGTAGACTAGAGGAACATGTCTGGGTTTCAGGAGGTAGCGATGTGGTGTCCTGAGCAGCGATGGAGGTAGACTTTTAAGGAACGATGAGTCCTGGCAGTGGTGGGCGAGGGTGATGATGTTGTGACCCGAGCAGCGATGGTGGCAGACTTCCTAGGAGCACGATGGTTTGGTAGAGGTGGCAGTGGGTGGCGATGAGGCGTCCCAAGCAGCGGTGATTGCAGCCTCTTAAGTCTCTGCGCTGGTGGCAGGGGGTAGTGGTACTGGCGGGACTACAAGTCTTGGTGGGGCATGACCGTCCCTGTGTTACATACTGAGGAGGCAGGGACCTGCTAATGGACTACAAGTCTTGGTGTGGCATTACAGGGCAGAGAAGTCCCTCTGTTTCTACTGAGGTGGAGGACCTGCTAAAGGACTACAAGTGTCAGCCTGAGAATGTGGAAACAGCGCTGTGATTCTTGTGAGCGAAGGGGTGATGGGACTGTGCTGAGGAACTACAAGTGTCAGGTGGCTTGCTCGAAGCGGGGGAATTTCTGAACATATACAGTGAGAAGGAAGCAGTTACAGGAATCTATGGGCGCCGGGTATCTTCCGTGTTATGACGGCGGTGTTCCAAGCATTGAGTAGTATCCTGGTCAGATTGGAGATGGGTGATTTGGGATCATCTAGAAGCAGCATTCTGGTTGGCTAGGAGAAGGGGCATCAGACTGTATTACAGGGCACCACATGGGTTGACGGGACAAGAGAGCTTTGCGTTTTAAACTGATGGTGCGGGCGACTGCTGTAGGAACTACAAATGCCAGCGTGGCTTTGTGGTATGATAAATATCTGATGCGTATTAAATGAGGAGATACATGTAGGAGGGATGACGGACTTGTTTGAGAAACCTCAAACTCCACCGTGGCTCGATGGTGCGAGGGGTCTCGTATGGCGAAGGGGCAGACAGCTGCTGAGGGGACTATAGATGCCAGCATGGCTGGGCAGGTGGGTGAAACATCCCGAATGTGTTGAAACTTTTATATAGACGATTGCGAGTTCCCTTTCAGGAAGTAGTCATTGGGATGGTTTGGTATGGGTGAGGGACCTCAAGAGTCTAGATTGAGGAACTACTAGTAGCAGCGTGATAGGAGGAGGAGGTAACAGATCTCCTATACACTCATGTGTGATGGTGTGCTAAAGTTGAGCATGTTGAGGGAGGGTGTTTACAAACTACAAGTGCCAGCATGACTTGACAGGGGAGGAGATGATGGATACCTTGAGGAGTTGGGCTGATAACGGCTTTGGAACCAGCATGGTTTGACGGGCCGCTAGATCCCGTAGGGCAGGGGTAGCCAAACTCCGGCCCTCCAGCTGTGGTGCAACTACAAATCCCATGAGGCATTGTAAGATTCTCACAGACATGACTCCCGGAGAGAGATGCATCATGGGATTTGTAGGTTCACCACATTGGAGGGCCGGAATCTGGCTACCCCTCCTGTAGGGGGTTTAAATGGAGAAGGGGCGCTGAAATGCTAGGTTGGGTTGAAAGGGGGCGATACGAACTTTGGAGGAATTAAGCGTTGGGGGGTTTTCTTGCCTAACTCTGTCGGCAACAGGTCAGAGGCCACTACTGTGTCTATACAGAGGATAGAGGAGAGGCAGGCTCAGCTACTACAAGTACCAGCAGACCTTATGCCAGGTAGCTCCTCTGCAATTGGATGGGCAGGTTTATAGGTGTGGGGATCATCCTTTAAAATAGGGGGGGTTTGCGTTGTCCCTTACTGTCTCCAGCAACTATCCATTTCCAGGATCCCTAAATGCCTCCACACTGGACATGCTGCAGGTTGCCCAGATCTACTAAGTATGTATCCCCCCTCCACGGGGAGGTCTCCGTCACCCACTCTTCTCTGTCGTATCCTCCACAGCACAGGGGAACCGTCTGATTTCTCTCTGACATTTCGCCTCCATTTGTTTAAGGTGGCCGCCAAGGCAACCAACCTCCTCTAGATTAGAAGGGAGGAGGTTATTTGGGGGGGGGGGGGGGGGTTCTGC